TATCATTAAATTATCATCAACTGCACCCTTTTACACAGATCTCAGAGGAGATATCTAGACAACTACACCCTAACTTCCTTCCCATTATGGTTCTGGGTTAGTCTACCAATGAGAGGCACTCATGTAAGATTGGAAAGGAAAGCAGTATTATTCTCAAGCACAACTGTTAACAGGTACATAGGCTGAGCTTCAGGCTCCTGCGAAATTGCTGAGACTCACTGTGGCTTCCAAATGAGCTCCTGTGAACCAAATAGCTTCCAGCACCTGTTTCTATGACCTCTATTCCTCTCACCCTTCCAAAGGTTGTGAAAACCTATAACTTCTTGTATTTAAACCCATCCTACTTGGAATTACTAGAGGGTTTCTGTTATTTTCACTGAAAACTGACTTATACATCTCCTTGGGAAATAAAATGAGATTACATTTTAAATTTAATTTTAGTGTTTCTTCTTTCTATTGAAAAATTTTTAAATCACTTGCAATTATTTCATATTAAGAAATAATAAAATATTAAAAAAGAAAATTCACTCTAAAATGTCATAATATTGATGTGGTGTTCCAAATGATCTTAAGTACACGCAAATTATTTAGTGATATCTGTGTATCTCCACTGTACTATTCATTGATACTCAAAATTAGTCACTTTTTTTGAGTTGTGTCATAAGGTCTGAGATCTGATCACATATGACACAATATCTGAAAAATGATATTTAGGCCCATATAATAAAACAGGTAGACTCCATTTTTTACTACATTGTGGCTCTAGAAATTGCATCAAAATGTACAGAACATTTTGTTTTCTATAAACAAATGATATACTTGCAAGATAAATTCCAAGCCTATAACAATTAAGTAAATTCTAGCTCTGTATAATAATATAATGATAGAGGTGTAAACACCATGAACCTCAACCATAAAATAATAAATATCTGTATGAGAGGCTCCTAGAGAAAGAGAAAATATATCCATTATACCAAAGGGCTGTGGAAAAAGCATATACCATATGAAGACTACAATTCAGTTTTATTATGATATTGATATTTATATAAAAATATAGTATATGCTTATTTTAATTAATTTTAAATATTAAATGCAAACTTGTGTGTCTTATTTAGCTTGAATAGAACTTGAAATAAATGCCTTAAGAGCTTATTTGAATGGCTTAGATTTCTCTTAAAAAATCTGATGGTTTGAGTCCAAATGTGTATCTTATTTTACTCTATATTGATACAAAAGGATACTAGAGATCTGAGAACTTGTCCCAAAGTCTCAACTATTCTTTATAAAGCACTTATTGTGACATCAAACAGTTTGAAAACCTCATTTTAAGAATTTAATTTTCATTAAAGGTATGTTCTTATATATCATTTCATTGTTCATTATATACCACCTCCCCCCTGCAACACACACAAACACCCTTTACAGCCATGTAAATTAGGCACTATCACAGATTGAAATAATTAAATGTTCTGAATGTAGTTTTGGCTCTAGTTATCTCTACAATGATCAGAATCATATTTAAAGAGCAAATATAATTTACTATAATCCACTGATTACAAAACACCTTCAACACCATGGAATTTGCAGACCACCTTCATTACTTTGATTCTATCATGGTTAAAGGACCACCATTAATGAATATCTTTTCTAGACATTCCAAAGTCACCTAATAAATGTAAACAATCAACAATGGAAAATGTCAAGACTGGCACTATTTTTTTAAAATAATTTTTTATTGTTATGTTAATCACCATACATTACATCATTAGTTTTTGATGTAGTGTTCCATGATTCATTGTTTGTGCATAACACCCAGTGCTCCACGCAGAATGTGCCCTCTTTAATACCCATCACCAGGCTAACCCATCCCCCCACCCCCCTCCCCTCTAGAACCCTCAGTTTGTCTTTCAGAGTCCATCGTCTCTCATGGTTCGTCTCCCTAGACTGGCACTATTTCACAGCCCCGTAGACAAAATGCACCTAGGGTCAGAAAGTAAAGGTAGAAATCCATGGCTAGTAAGTGAAGGTTGGAATCTTGTGTCTTAGACAAGGGATGGTCTCAAGAATAACAATAATCTCCTACGTGATGAGTACCACTATGGACTACAGTTTCTATATTCTGTTTAATCTACTTCTTCATTGTCTTTAATTTTACCATGAGAAATACACATGACTTTATCTGGGTGCTCACTTTTCATAAAATAAAGGGTTTAATTTCTGTTTTTTATTTATTTACAGAATGTATTGCATTCATGTTGATAAGCAACAGAAAAGCTATAAAGCTGAACACACTGCACATTTAGAAATGTCCTTCTTTTAGCTAAGAGGATACATTTCACATTAAGACATTAAAACTCAGGTTTTTATACAGTAAATGACAGATTAACAACAAATGTTAATTTCACAAATCCTAAGGGCTTGTTATATCTGAAAATATGCTTTGTCCTCAGAACGTCTGTCTTCATCATCCTGTCTACCTCTGAGTGCTTCTTGTTCTGGTCATAGATGTAGTTGTAGATGCTCTTGAAAGCCACCCAGGAAATATGCTCAATTTATCTCTATGTTCCATTCTAAACCTTATTATTTTTCTTTTTTCAATGATCTGGGCTGATTTCTGACTTGAATCAATATTTCCCAATGCTGGTATTATGTCATATTTATTTATTCATTCAATTTTTATCTGTCAAGATTTTGTTGGGTTTCATTCAGTGTGCACGCAGTTCTGTGCCCTACTGCCCCCTCTTCCCATCAGTGTGTCCCGGCCACAGCTCAGGGAAACCTGACTCCTGTAAGAGCTCTCAGGACCTTCTAAACTGCCTCTTCCGTCTTTGTCCAATCTTTACAAACCCTTTATATTCTTCATAGATCCAGAACTTTTTGAGTTCAAAAAGAAAACAGGGGTGCCTGGGTAGCTCAGTCGGTTAAGCGGTTGCCTTTGGCTCAGGTCATGATCCCAGGGTTCTGGGATCGAGCCCTGCATTGGGCTCCCTGCTCAGCGGGGAGCCTGCTTCTCCCTCTCCCTCTGCCCCTACTGTGTGCTCGCTCTCTGTCTCTCTCTGTCTGACAAATAAATAAAATAAAATATTAAAAAACAAAAAAAGAAACATTGGTTGCTTTTATTTATTTATTTATTTTTAAGATTTTATTTATTTGACAGAGAGAGACACAGCGAGAGAGGGAACACAAGTGGGGGGAGTGGGAGAGGGAGAAGCAGGCTTCCCGCTGAGCGGGGAGCCAGATGCGAGGCTCGATCCCAGGACCCTGGGATCATGACCTGAGTCGAAGGCCGTCACTTAACGACTGAGCCACCCAGGCACCCCAACATTGGTTGTTTTTAAACAAGTACTATGTGTCAGGCACTGAGGATCCACCAGTGAAACGGCCCCAGCTATTAAGAAATTTACAATATAATGGAAGAGATAGAGCAAGTTAACAGGAAAAAACACTTTTCCTTGATACATTTAGAGATATGCGTTACTTCAAATTGTTAGTGGACAACTAGGAGGGCCAGCTACTGCAGTCTTGGGGTATATGGAATGCTTCTAATTACTATAGCACATATCAAAGATGAAATATCACCACTAACATGCAGATAAAATTGGACTAAAGTGTTGCTTATGGATTCTACCTGTGTCTGAAAATCCATAAAATATGTTTATGAAAAAATAATTTGCTATATAGATAAATGGATTAATGTTTAAATTAACAGGGCCCACCTTCTGCAGCCCAGTGCTGAGGACTTTCTCTTACCAGTATAACTATAACACATAAGCTCACTGAAAATAAAATAAAGGTCCCTAGACTCAGTGGGATCCCAGAGTCCTAGGTCACCCAAACCATTCTAAGATGGAATAACCTTATCCTTCAAGAATAACCTTCAAGAAACAATGCTTCACATCTTTGAGATTCATGTTCAGACTCAGATTGGACAACTGATTGGACAAACAGGTGTTCTGGTCACAAGGAACGGTGCTGATGAGTAGCACACTGATGCAAACCACAGCTGCAGCCAGCCCCTAAGGGTGGCACACACATCAAGCCAGTAATCTCGCATTTCTATACAATATTTTTATGTTCAAATGCAACAGTAATATGTTAAGGAGGTTACTGTTCACAAAGCGCCTCTGCCATATAATCTCGTTTGATCCTCATAACATTCCTGAAAGTCCAGAGGACAGCACTTATTCTGAATGGTCAAATAAATTGCCCAGGTCAGACAACTTGAAAGGTAAAACTTCCTGTCTTCAGACCCTGGGTTCTTCTCACACCCCTACAGTGCTTTCTGCCTCAAGACCTCTGATGGTAAGAAGGGAAGAATATGCTTCACAGTGACATTAAAGTCAAAGAAGGAGCCAGCACGGCACCGTGCCTTGAAAGAGATCAGACTTCCATTTCTGAATAAAACCATCTAAATGCCATTTCTAATACAAGCCAAATCTCTCATTGACTCATTCCCAAATTTTAGAAAAAAATTAAATAAACCATGAGCCAGAACAACTGGCAAAATAAGCAAAAGTGCAGAGGAGTGTGGAAATTTCATTTTTAACAATAGCTTTTTCAGAAAAGGAAAGCCAGACAAACCAGTAATCCCTAAGAGGCTTGTTTGGACTCCATTTCAAAAACAAAAAAATTATAAGAAAAGTATGTGTTGGTCTGTTACAAATTACCTATATCCACAGAGATGAAGGGAGCACCCAAACACAACTATTCAGAAAGGCACTGAGCAAGAACTCAAAAACTCACTGAGCAGAGAGCTCCATCACTGGGACCCTGTGTATTGAAGATATTGGTATTTGGTAGAAAGGAAATGGATTTTACCCAAGTGCTCCTTCCCTGAATTCAACTATTATAACTCTCCACATATATATAATAACTCCCCATTATTATTCTGGTGTTGTTCTATATATTCACAAAGTCATTGGACAGATTTTTTTTTTTTTTTAATCTAGTTATTCCAGTCTCAACAACAAGGACATGTTACTTAGGGGAAAAAAACAAACCTGTTCTCTGAGAGCTTTGATGGTTTTTTGAATTTCCACTGCAAAATTGCTGAAATCTTGGGCAAACTTTGCTTTTGCCAGAAGTGTCACGTTTCTACCATCTTCATCAATGTACAAGTGACTTTGTTGCCTGTTTATACAAGAAGCAAATAAAATGCTGAAAAATAGAAGTTGCATGGTAAAAAAATCAACAAATATTCCTCAGGCATTGGAATGTACAGGGCATTGTGACTGCTATGCTGTGTGGACATAAAAAGATGTGACTGGAATTAGAAATTTAAATTAAATGACATATAAGAAGATAATCCAGAGTGTCACATCTGTTCCACATAGTTTATTCAAAATGATAAGGAAGTATTTCTTAGGAAATAAATGGAATGCCACGTAGTATTACATATCTATTTGACATATTATTTAGATCTCAAATTATGTCTTTTGCTAAAAATTGTTCATTCCACTTCACAGTGAAAGAGCAGTGACAAATTAAATATTATATATTATATAGTACGCAGGTGGGAAATTTCCTTGTTCTATTATAAATTCATGGCAAGAACTAAATTAAGATAAGAATACTAGTCTAACAAAAATCTAATCTTAAACCAGATGCAAAATAGCTCAGTATTATCGATAATGAAAGGAAATAAAAAGTCTTGGGCTGAATTTAAAATATGATTCCTAGAGCTTAACTGAAGTTCTCAAAAGACAGAGGTAAATAATGAGTTTGGAAAATTGAAATGAAAGTTCCATCCACCTATGATTACAATATATTGTCAAAAATATTTTTATATATTGGGCACCTGGATGGCTCAGATGGTTGAGCGTCTGCCTTCGGCTCAGGTCATGATCCCAGGGTCCTGGGATCGAGTTCCACATCGGGCTCCCTGCTCCTTGGGAGCCTGCTTCTCCCTCTGCTTCTCTCTCTCTCTCTCTCTCTCTCATGAATAAATGAATAAAATCTTAAAAAAATATTTTATATAGATTTGATTTAGTTGACATGCTATTAATGTCTCAAGTTTTCTTTTTTTTCCCAAATTTTGTTAAAAGTTCTTCTTTGTGAAGAAGCCATTGTAACTTTCAAAATTGTTCTGCTTTGTTCTGCTTGATATATGTCTTCTATTGTTCAGTAAGAAAATAGCTTGCCAGACACAGTACATCCCATGAGTTTGTAAAACAATTCCTAAACCAAGGACATGTTACAGAGCTTACATCAGAGAGGTAATTTAGGAAAAGATAGCATTGAAAAAGAACAGGAGTTACCAATGCCAGTTACTCAGTCACTAGATCAACTCTATGTCCCGTAAAACACTATGAATTAGGGGCATCATGAATCACTAGTGGCCTCACACCAGCTTTTACTATGGTGCTGTGTTCAAATTGATTCAAGTGTACCAATGTTGACATGGATGATATTAGTAACAATGGATAATTTTAATTAAGATTATTTGACACTTTTGTTTTCATGATGCTCTCTCCTATAGATCATCAGTGTTGAATAAAAGGGGATTTAGCCACAAGGAAGTCTGGATGATTGTATAAATGTATAACCAAGATTTAAAGTACTGAATGTAGGAACATGGGGAGTAGTTGATATTGGCAAAACCAGATTATACAGTCAGATGGTGTTCACAATGGAACAAGTATATGTTGGGTGTGGGTTATGTAATAAGCATTATGCTAAGATACATGTGAGGGTGCTTTCCAGTAAGTAGGCTGCTAACACTCTCTCAGAAAAGGCTGACTGATGAACAAGCAGGAAATACATTTGTATGAGGAAGACAAATAAGAAGGTAATGACTTCTGCCTGGGGTGGGGGTGGGAGGTGGCATGCGTCAGGGAAGCTAAATAAAGCAGACCATAATTCTTCATCCATTTCAGGGACCATGCAGCTCTGATTGTTCTGACCTAGAGGCCACATCGTTTCACTCAATGCACCCAGCAGTGCCAAGAGACACTTGAAGCAGCCCTGTCTTTCAGATGAGAATACTGTAACAGAAAGTTAATATGTCCATATGATACAGCTATTAAATTGCACAGTTGGATGCAAATCAGGATTTTTAAAAACAAAATTTAAAAATCCTTTTTTAACCACTACACAGACATTTTAGACTTGATCATATTTATGTTTTAGACAGTGTGGAAAGAGAGAAGAGAGACAAGGATACCAGCTAGGGAGATTATTGGGGGGTTGTGGGGAAGGTGGGGGGAGGATGGAAGGAAAAGATGGATGTTGCTATATATTATTAAAAACATGAAAGTCAGCATAGAGCTTGTAAGAAAAAAATAATATTTATCAAGTTAAACTGATGTTAATTCATGAACAGTGTATTAAAAAATGGCTCAATTTGTGACTGAGAGAGAGTAAATGCAAGAAAGATGAATGTGGGGGCACCTGGGTGGCTCAGTTGGTTAAGTGGCTGCCTTCAGCTCAGGTCATGATCCCAGGGTCATGGGATCGAGCCCCACATCGGGTTCCCCGATCAGCAGAGAGCCTGCTTCTCCCTCTCCCTCTGCTTGCCTGCCTACTTGTGATCTCTATCTCTCTGTCAAATAAACAAATAAAAAAATCTTTAAAAAAAAAAGAAAGGTGAATGTGCAGAGAAAAGTAAGAGTGAAATCATAGCCTGAGTGATCTGTGCACACTGAGTGATGGAATTTGGCCCTCTTTGGTCTAAACAAGTCTTCAGCACAACAGAACAATCTACAAAGGATTACTGAAGTGTGTATAGTTAGAAGACAAAACAAAGCTGGTATTATCTTTCTATCATCACATCAGCAATAAACAGAACTCCCAATTGCAAGGCTCATGTTTGAGTCAAATTTGATAAGATTGGCAGGAGACTAAAATTGAAATTAACCAATCTATAGCTGAGTGACTAAGGCTACAGGTATGCAGAACATCCATGAGGTCACCATAATCTTAAAGAGTTCAGATAATGTATACGTTAATTATTACCTCAAAACAAGTGAAGTGAATGTTTCTGGAAGAACCAGGATGTGGCTGTAGGACAGGGCAGAAGGCAGGTAGTGGGTGTTTTGTCCATGCCACATACTTGTGGATGTGACTGGAGAGCCAGATCTCCTTTAACATCTTATAAGAAAAAGAAAAATTGCCTGCAATTGCCCAACATCTACTTCCAATTTTTCTCTGGTGAAACATTTCATGTAGTAGAGTGGATTACAAACCAAATGAAATGCTAAATTAAATAAGGGCCATGTGACTGCTTTCTGCCACTTGAATTATTTAAAGATGGTTCTGACTGGGGTTATTGCTCCTGGTCAACAGTCTACCTTGCAGGAAGGAGCTCCAGCAACACACGGGACAGGTTTAGTTTTCTTAGCTTAGAATTTAAGGCCTTTCTCTCTCTGCCTCAGTCTCCTTTTATAGAACATTCTTCCAGAATGCTCTTCATCCCTACGTATTGAACACACCAGATCATTTAGTAACACGCCAAGACTTACCACTCTGCAAACACACCTAAATTTCTTTGTCCCCATGACTTTGCTCACTGTTCTTTCAGACTGGGAAGCCTTAAACCTTCATCAAAATCTTAGTCTCTTTCTCAAGATCTCACCTCTGCATAGGCTAAAAGTCCAGAATTATCCACACCTTGTTCTGAATTATACAGCATCCTAATTGGATTTCATTTCAGTATTATATGAGCACTTCTGTTCAAAGAGTTAATATTTGCATAGCATTTAAAAGAATGTTTGGCATATAGTGAGCACTAACTATAACAGCATTTGCTATCCTGTCTTTTGTTAAATGCCTATACTGCTGCATCTCACATCACTATTAAGCGCTTTACATATATATGTATTCTCAACATAATAATCCCATAAAGTAGGTATTATTATGCCCATTTTACAGCTGAGGAAACTGAGACTCTGAAATTTTACATAACTTGTGGTTATGAAGTAATGGAAACAGGGTGTGCACCTGTGCCAGAATCTGAAACCTTCACCCATCTCCCTTATCAGATTACCTACCTTCTCTCCTAGACTATAAATCTTACGAGACAGAGACTATGTCTTGTTCATTTCTACATATGTCACAAATTCCCACTTGTGACTGACAGCAGGAACTCCGAAAATGTATTTTGAATTTGACTGAATTATAATACCTAGGAGGCTGCTACGAAAGACAAAGTTACTAGTGTGTGATAACAAAATGTCTTCAATAGTGTCTCTCCTACCAGACGGTCAATTATAATGTTTGTATGTTTGTTTTTGTAATTTAATTATACAAGCATCTACTGAATATTTACTCAATGAAAAGGAGCTACTGTATGCACCCATGCTCACGTCATTGTTTCTGTTTCCAGAAGCTTCCAAGACAAGTGTGAGGAGAAACTTTGTAAAGAAGTTAACTATATATGAAACTTGTATATAAGTGTCACAGGAGAAGTCCTAACAGATTTCAAAGGAGTAAGATTGACATTTCTCAGTTTTCTGAGGGATCAAAAATATCCCATCTTGGTCACAAATTAAACCTTCTTTGCAATACACAATACATGGATTAAAATCAACTTACCTTGATAAATATTATTACTTTTCTTACAAACAATATGCTGAGTTTCCTATTTTTGAAAAGAATTTTAAAAACAGCAATATCCATAATGTGATTTAAGGAATCATAAATAACATTTATGATGTGCAATTTTCTGTACTTTATTGAGAAATATTTATTGCTAAGCATGCCCTGGATATGATGTCCCAGAGTGAAAAGGAACCCATATGTATTACAAAATTTATTTATTTGTTCATCGTTGTATAATTTATCCTATATGTAAATGAGTCAACCATTGTTAATATAGAACCCCTCAAATTGTATATTTGAAATAAATCTATGGTAAATAGCCCAAAGAAATTAGATATTTCTGTACATACCTACTGATTAGATCACTTAAGTCCTTATCTTTCTCATCAAGATAGCTGTATTGAGCAGAGCGTTTCTTTCGAGATTCTTGTGTGAATGCTCTTAACTGTCCTCTACTCCTACAGTCTGTGGGGAAAAAGTATCCACATGAGCATTGTGTGAGATTGGCATCATCTTCCTGTCTAGAGTATCTCTTTAATTGAGGAGGGAGATGGATAGCTCTTCAGTCAGTTCAATTATAGTTTTCTGGTTTTGCAAGTGGCTGCATCTCTGTTTTTACCAAAGCAGATGAAATACCAAGGCAGTTTGCAAAATCTGTAGAGTCTCCATAGGGAGAGGAAGGTGAATCTGAGCAAGGACACTGATCATGGGGTACATTTTTTTCACTTAGAGGACTTGAAAATGGGGAAAGGAACAAAAACGTGGTAGACAGAATGATTGAAATTCTGAGCTCCTCAAATTACTTAATCAACACCTGCTATCAAATCAAGGCTAGTTTTTTGTTATTAATGACCTCTATTGCACAACAATGTGCATATAGTTAACATTACTGTACTGTACACTTAAAATGGCTAGCATAGTAAATTTTTTTGTTATGTGTTTTTCACCACAATAAAAACACATGAGAATGTTATGAAAATTTTTATATAAATATAAAACAACAACAACAAATGCTCTTTAAATTTCATCTGAAAACAGTTGGATTGGAAACTAGGTATATTGAGAAGAGGAAAAACAATGATGTAGGAACCTACCTTTCCAAATAGTAAAGCTACTATATATAAAGCTCAAAAAAAAAAAAAGAATTTTTAATACTGGAATAAAAAAGATTGAAATGGAACATGATAACCATCCCAGAGCATTTCACTACGCACTTGAATCTAAAAGGTTACACTGGACAGCATAAATTGGAGGGGAACAAGGAATTACCCTACAGCTTTTTGTGTTAGGCAATGAACAAGTTATTTCTTAGGGAAGGGAGTTATTTCTTTGGGAAGGGAGAGGTGTAAAGACAACTTACATCTTCACCTTAGCATATATAAATTAAAATAAGAGGAATATGCCCCATGACAAATTGTTAAGCAAAGCTGAAGATAAAATTTAAGTTGATTTTTTAAATAACAAAATAAATGGCAAGTGCTATAAAATTAGACACAAAAGAAAAGCAAAACTGTATTATACAATATGAACTTACTAATATTAAAAAATATAAAAAATAAACTGAAATGACAACATGTCAAAATGGTGACAGTGATGTGTCTAGAACACTGTTATGGTTATTATTTCTTTTTTCTTATTCTACATCTATCCTTTGTTTTGTTCCAGTTTTCAATAAAAAACAGTCATAATTTAAACAATTTAAAAACAGTAAATGCAAGTAAGCAGAGAGAAATGGATTATTCCAAGTCTGACAGTGGGCTGAGCCCTAGGACAAGTGTGAGACTTTGGACAATCGAGGAGGAACATGGAAGTACAGAATTCTTCCCAAGGACAGAGAAGTACTCAAGAAGGGAGGTAGAACTGTGGCAATGACAAACTACCTCAATGGGCAAGCTTTGCCAGTGAACTGGTGGGAAATGCATGCTGTTGAAAATGTTGCGTGTGTTACTTTTGAAACTATAGTATCAAGACATTATAGATAAAGCTATGCAGTATACTTACAGATCTATATGTGTCTACTTTTACAGCATTACTTCAACCTAGCACCTTATCAATAACCAATAATCCATAAATATTTGCAGATCTGGGTGAGAAAAAAAGAAATAGAAAAGAAAACAAAGAACACAACTAAAATATATGGGTTTCGCTCATGTAGTAAAACTTAGTTTTTCTATTTCTGAAAAGTATATAATTTTTTTCAATAAATATTTATGTGGAACTTACTAAACTATTAGACTAAGTACTGTAGGGAAAATAAAAATGAATAAGGTATGGTTCTTGGTTTTGAAGAGTTTGCAAGTGGAAAAACACGGCATTTCCAATTAAGCCTATATATCTCCCCTTTTAATCCTCATATGAAAAGGAAAAGTATAGAGGAAGGAGGAGCAAGATGGCGGAGGAGTAGGAGACCTAAATTTCGCCTGGTCCCAGGAATTCAGCTAGATCGGGATCAAACCATTCTGAATACCTACAAACTCAACAGGAAATCAAAGAAAAGAATAGCAGCAACTCTCTGAACAGAAAAGCGACCACTTACTGGAAGGTAGGACATGCGGAGAAGTGAATGCGAGGTGATATTCAGGAAGATAGATGGTGGGGAGGGGGCCTCCGTCAGCTGCTACTGGGAAGTGATAGAGGAGCAGAGTACAAAATCGGAACTTTTAGAAGTCAGCTCTGCTGAGGGACAGCGCTCCAGTGGCTAAGCAGGGGGTCGAACCCTCACGGGAGAGTGTGGTCTCAGGACCCTCAGGGTCACAGAAAGACCAGGGGTGCCTGAGTGCGGCAGAGCTCCCAGGTATCGGAACGGGGAAGCTGGGTGCAGAGACAGAGCCAAGGAGCGGGCTCTCAGCTCGGGGTTGCCATAAACCATGATCCGCGGCATAGTCAGACCACTGCTCCTCCAGCAGGGACCCAACAAGCGGCAGATCCAGGAAGACTCCCCTTCCTCCCCTGGAAGGAACAGCATGGGAGCACATCTCAGGGATGTGCTGAGTTTGGAGACTCCACACGGGGTTGTGTGCCAGAAGTAGAAATGCTCGATCACAGGCCGGGTGAGCATGGGGTGTGGCCGGAGACCGGAGAGATGCGAGTGATTGAATGCTTTTCTCTGGGGGCTCACTGAGGAGTGGGGCCCCGGGTTCTCAGCTCCTCCGGGGTGGAGATTGGGAGGCCGCCATTTTCACTCTCATCTGCCAAAGCTGTACAGAAAGCTTACAGGCAACAAAAGCTCCCAAGAGAAAATCCAAGCAGATTACTTAGCTGGGCAATTCCACCTCCAAGACATTTGAGAACCATGGCAACAGGCCCCTCCCCCAGAAGATCAGCAAGAACAGCCAGCCAAGAGGAAGTTTACTGATGAACAAGAATGACAGAACGGCAGCACTAGGGGAATACTGTACATAGAATTCATGGCTTTTTTCCCATGATTCTTTAGTCTTTCAAAGCTAATTTTTTTAATTTTCTGTTTTTTCTTTTTCTTTTTTTTTTGGAATTTTTCTTTTTCCCTTTTTCAACCAACATCTTATCAATCCCTTTTTTAAAATTTTTTTTTTATTTTTCATTTTTAGAGCTATATTCTATCTCTTCATAGTAGCTAAACTTATTTTTGGTATATATATATATATAAGTTGTTCTCTCTTTAAAATTTTGGGATACAATTTCATCTAACAGACCAAAGTATACCCTAAATCTCTTGTATATGGCTTTGATCTAGTCTCCTACCTGATCACATTCTCTCCCTTTTTTTTTAAATCCTCTTCATTCTTCTTTCAACCAAATTCTTACCTTATCAATTGCTTTTATAAAATCTTTCATAATTTTCATCTTTACATTATATTCCATCCCTTCATCGAACTTACCCTTATTTTTGTACATACATAAATTTTTCTTTCGTTAAAATCTTGGGAGGCACTTTCTTCTAACAGACCAAAATATGCCCAAAATCTAGTGTGTGACACTAAACAATGCACCAGCCTGATCATATTTGATCATATTCTGTTTTTGTTTTTTTTGTTTTGATTTGATTTGTTTTATCTTTTTCTTTTTCTTTTTTCATTCTTTCCCTTTATTTTCTCCCGGGTTCAGGTTTCTTCGGATTTGTTTACTGTATATTTTTCTAGGGTCGTTTTTACCCTGTTAGCATTTTGTTCTCTCATTCATCTATTCTCCTCTGGACAAAATGACAAGGCAGAAAAAAATCACCTCAAAAAAAAGAACAAGAGGCAATACCGACTGCCAGGGACCTGATCAATATGGACATTAGTAAGATGTCAGAACTAGAGTTCAGAATGACGATTTTAAAGATACTAGCTGGGCTTGAATAAAGCATGGAAGATACTAGAGAAATCCTTTCTGCAGAAATAAAAGAACTAAAATCTAACCAAGTCAAAATCAAAAAGGTTATTAATGAGGTGCAATCAAAACCGGAGGCTCTAACTGCTAGGATAAATGAGGCAGAAGAGGGAATTAGTGATATAGAAGACCAAATGATGGAGAATAAAGAAGCTGAGAAAAAGAGAGATAAACAACTACTGGATCATGAGGGAAGAATTCGAGAGAGACGTGATACCATAAGATGAAACAATATTAGATTAACTGGGATCCCAGAAGAAGAAAGAGAGAGAGGGACAGAAGGTATATTGGAGCAAATTATAGCAGAGAACTCCCCTAATTTGGGGAAGGAAACAGACTTCAAAATCCAGGAGGCACAGGGAACCCCCCTCAAAATCAATAAAAATAGGTAAACACCCCAACATCTAGTAGTAAAACTTACGAGTCTCGGAGAGGAGAGAAAATCCTGAAAGCACCTCAGGATAAGAGATCTGTAACCTACAATGGTAGAAATATTAGATTGGCAACAAACCTATCCACAGAGACCTGCCAGGCCAGAAAGGACAGGCATGATATATTCAGAGCACTAAACAAGAAAAATATGCAGCCAAGAATACTATATCTAGCTAGGCTGTCATTGAAAATAGGAGAGATAAAGAGCTTCGAGGACAAACAAAAAATAAAGGAATATGCAAACAGGAAAC